TTTTGATTGAACTATCCCAATAATGCAACAGTAATGTTCAGGTTTGCATTTGGGATTGCATTTGACAACTGTTTCGGTTTCAACCAAACAGGTTGAAAGTGATAAATCAATATTAGGGTTGGGAATTCAGAATTAATATGATCAAAAAGACTCACAAATTAGTCTTGAACTTCTGGGTGGCATTTACACGCTTCATTTAGTGTGATTTAAAATGTGGTTAAAAATGCACATTTAGAGCAGTTTTGTTTTTCTGGTATTTTAGTTTTGTTCTGATATTCTGTATTCTGTTATTCTGAATGATAAATGCAATGTTAAGTAACTGGAATTAAGTGAAATCAAATTTATATTTAAAACTTATGGTTTTTATTCCTAATAAAGAATTTTAAGAATAGTAGGGTCTACATAAAATACTTATTACCTACTATTGCTACTACTATTTGGTCATCAATTCAGAATGCATTAAATCAGTGATTTCTAAGAGACTGTTGGCATTTTAACTCTTTCCCCGCCACTGTTTTTTTTTGTTTGTTTGTTTGTTTGCTTGTTTTTTAGTTTCAAACATTTAAACTAAAAAATATATATTTTAATAATTTTCATAAAAATGTAATGCCACGCAGAATATTTTGCTGTATGAGTATCAAAACATGCAACATGTCAAAACAAAGAACTGAGCCTCTGCTTTTAAACAAACGAAAAAAAAAAAAAAAACTTTTTATTGTAGCGTCCATGCAATTTTTTGAACAACAAGCATTTTTGTAAAATACTACGTTTGGATCAGATTCAGAATGACGATCACAACATAGATGGAATAGATCGCTTCCATCAACACATACAAAGCTTCCACGGTCCTATACCACTTCTTGGGTCAAGTACTGAGACTTGATCCTGCAACCTTTGGGTTACATGTCCAACTCTCTAACCATTAGGCCACAACTGCCCCTAACATTTGGGGCATTATTTCATTTTGTAACGTTAGGCAGTTTTGATTTATATGCTGTTTAATGATGATTGCGTTATTTTACATTTGCATCTGCTTACAAACGTGATCGCTTGTTTCTGCTTCTTCTTCACCATGTTTTGATCCAGACGTTCAATACTCTTTCAGAAGATGCATAATAGTGCATCCTACCATATACCAGTGAAAACACGGAAAGACAGAAAAGTCCGTCAATGGCATGGAAAGAGTTAATAAAGCTCAGGCTAGTTTGGCCATAAAATGTCCCATATAAGGAAGGGAGAACCAGAGTGAAATTTTAACCAGTGCATATTATTAGAAACCTGGTCTTTTCCTTTCATCCTGAACTGAGTCCATTTTACAATGCCTCAAATTCATTATTTAAATGCTCAGACTATTCCCCCATCTTATTAATGATTTATTTATAATGGAACTTGACACAGTAAATGCTTGAATTGTAAGGTGGAAAAACTTTCAGAGATCTTGGCATAATACAGAAGATTAATTAAAATTGATCAGACTGCAGATTGCTGTAATTTATCTGTTGTGGTGGTTAAGTGGTTAAGGTCATGGATATTTGTGGAAAACATTAAAAACACTGACAAAATAATTGGTTGTAATTGTGCAGTCCTTCTGTCGGACTGGGTTTTAATAGTGGTTAATCGCTGCAGTGTAATAAGAGCGTGTGAGTGTGTCTTTAATTGGTCTGGTGAGCACAACAAACATTAGCCTCAAGAGGTTTGGATTATATTAGCTACATACAATTGATAAAGGGTTGATGGGGAAATTCTCATTGAAATAAATTATCTCTAGATTTTTGAAAGCCTCCAGACCAGAGTTTCCCAATCAATAAGGGTGCTAGATAACTAAAATCGGTGAGGGTGAGATCTAGATGCCTGAGATATTTGATTTCAGTGGTTTAGAAAAAAAATAAAAAAAGGAATACTGATTGATTTATTGCAATAATATTGAATTCATTGCATATATGTATGTATGTATGTATGCTGTAGATAGATAGATATATAGATAGATAGACAGACGGACGGACGGACGGACAGACAGACATGATAGACAGACAGACAGACAGACAGACAGACAGATAGATAGATAGATAGATAGATAGACAGACAGACAGACAGACAGACAGACATACAGACAGATGATAGATACTGTAGATAGATAGATGGATAGACAGACAGACAGATTATAGACAGACAGACAGACAGACAGACAGACAGACGATAGATGGACGGATGGACGGACGGTCAGACAGACAGACAGAGAGATAAAAATCCACTATCACTTTAGATTAATTTCTTTGAGTAGTTTGTCTCTAAGGAACTGATACCTTTTTAAAAAGTCTGGATATCAGGAGGCCATTGTTGGAGAGATTTACTTTAAGTTGCTGAGCTCAAGGTCTTGAAGCAACATCTGCTTATATACTTAGAGAGTTGCTGGTGCAGAATATTAAACAGAAGGATGTCTGATCCTAACACAGCAGTGAGCTGTTGTGACCAGCAACTAGCTAATGCATAAAGGCCTCTATTAATTAGTATTCCTCTGAAGTTGTTCTCGCAGTGATTCATCAAAATGACAAAAGACTCAAATTTCAGACGGTACAAAACCTTGGCCTAAAATTGACCTGTCGGTAGGAAATGGAGTAGCAGCTGTCAAGGCACTACAGGCTTCAAGGGAACCCAACTTATTTGTTACCAACCCCTAGTTTTTCACAGCCCCGTGCAGCTTTGATAAGTCTGCGCTTTCTGCCCTCAATATGTGAACATTTTCTTCTATCTTTCCCATCCATACATCCTGGGTTTGCCTAGCTGAGTGTGGAGCCACTTCTGTGGCCAGTCAGGGTGTCCTACTGTCCCCCAATTACCCGGCAAATTACGACAACAACCACGAGTGCATCTACCGCATTGAGACCGACAGAGGCAAGGGGATTCAAATCACAGCCACCACCTTCCAGCTTCACGAGGGAGATTTCCTCAAGGTAAGAATGACCGACATGAGTCATTATATATATATATATATATATATATCACAATTATTTAACATATATAAATAATTGTGTAATTGTGTGAATATGCATAATGGATCAAACAGTGAATTAAATACATTTATGTATTCATTTGTTCATTAAACACTGTTGTACTGTTGTAATTAAACAGTAAAACTAATGTTATAAAACGGATAGTTCAGACTCTAAAGGCCACATCAGTTGAATTCTATGTTAATGTGGTAACTTGTGAAATTGCAAACACAAAATAGAGTTTCGAGAACTTTGATGAAGTCTGGTGATTGCAGCACTTCTGCAATACTGTTAACACGTAACAGTTTGTAATCCATGAGAGACCAGCAAATGGGACTTGGAGACACCATTAACTATTCATAGATTAATTTACGTTACAGTGCTCAAGGCACATGCACCATCACAGAAGAAAGATGGCCCCTTAAGACCAATAAGGCCACTAATTAAGTCACAAATGATGGATAAGTATGAGGTGCTTTAGATATTCCAAACACATACATTCTGTCACAGTTATAGTGATTCTGTTGCAATGAATCATTAAAATATTGTCTGTCAGCATTAAGGGATATTTGAATTTAATCTGTCAGCAAATAAGGTCTTAGACTTGTATATCTAGCAAGGTTTGCCAGATTTATAAGGAAACCGCTATTCCCTGGTTACTGATGTTATTGATTGGCAGTTTTAGTTAATTTCAGCTGATTTTTGAGGCTGTTTTATCAGTTTGCACCATTGTAGACAATCAGCAGAAACAATACGTCTGTTCTTAGACCAGTGGCCCATTCTGCACATGCAACCTGGAGTCACATGATATTTTCCATTAAAGCTTGAAACTGTGTCCTCCGTAACAGAAAAGTGGAAAATTGCTGCTTGACATTGATGTATGACCTTTAATATTTTTTTCCCTGTGCCGTAGTGTTTTCCACCCTCACTTTGCAGAGGTTATTGTTTCAAAATATGTGCAATTTTGAAAATAAATTACATAATCCAGACACCAAAAGACAATATTTTGAGAAAACACTTGTTTGTTTGTTTTTATTTAATTGTTTTTAAATTTTATTTTATGTCATTTATTTATTTATTTACTGAGGAAATCTTATCAGAATAAGCAATTCTGAGATTGACTGCTGACAAAACAAGTTAAGTAAACATTCCTGCTTCTTTTGGTCTTTGTTCATCAAGACTCCTGGGCAATTTTACAAAAAACGACATGTCTGATGTCATCCTCAACAGCACGTCCAACCATCTTTGGATGGAGTTTAACAGCAATGGTACCGGTACCAGCAAAGGATTCAAGCTGTCGTACAGCAGTAAGTTGAACGACATTCCAATAAAGGCTCCATCCCGCAATCACACACTGATTCTTCAGAAACGGCTACAGAAGTGAACAAATAAAGCTTTATGTATAAAGTAATTATTTTAAATTAATCTTATAAGCATGTCTAATAGTATTAACCTGTGTTTGGGTGAAATCTCTTGCTTCTTCATTTTTCCCATCCAAATGTGTTTTCCTTGCCTATCTATCACACAATATAAAATCACAATCAATATACTGACACTTAGATCATATTTACTGTAAACACTGACAAATCTAGCATTCATTTTGATTAAAATGATTTCAGGATGGTTTCAAACTGATTTTCAGCTCAATCTATTGAATTGTTACCACTGTGAGACACTGTGTAATTTGACGCCTGACTGCTGTTTTGACAAAATTATTTTTTATCAAAAGTTGTGAAATAGAAATATATATATATATGTTTGTGTTTGTTTGTTTTAATAATTGTTCTTCATAAAAAATCAAATACTACTGCTCTAATTACAAGAAAGAATGAGTAGAAACAAAGACCGTAAAGACACAGCATGTGCAAGAAGATATTACGGTTTTAATTGCTGGTCAGAGACAGTCTAATAATATCCTCATTATCCACTCTTCATTATTTCCTCGTTAAGACTACCACCATCTTCCCAGCCAAAACAAGGAGAATAGTAAATGCATTAAAGAGCAGCTCAGCGGGGTTTATTGTTTTCAGACATATTTTTGGAAAAAGCTTTACCTTGAGATGTCTCTGCATTGGAAATGTGCTTTAACCAATCACATACAGAAAGAAAAGACAGCATGTTTGAAAGGGTGATCTTTGAGTTGAGCATATGCTGTGCTGGTATTAATTTGAGGTGGACTCCTGGGGGCTGCATAGGTAATTGTTGTGAGCAGGTGTACCTTTTATTGCACCACCTTTATGCCATTATCAAGAAAGAGTCTGATCCAGCCTGCCAGGGGGTTGATTTCAGGTGGCCAGATGTCTTTTTTACCATTCAAATTGGCTTACCTTGATCCTGCCTCTTTACAGGTTTTGACCTTGTCAAATGTGAGGAGCCGGGGACACCTAATTATGGCTACAAAATCCAAGACGATGGCCATTTTGCAGATACATATGTTTTGTACAGTTGCAATCCTGGATACACACTACATGGAAGCAGCACGTTAACGTGCCTCAGTGGAGGCCGTAGGGTGTGGGACAAACCACTTCCATCTTGTATTGGTGAGTTCAAAATATATATATATATATATTTTTTTTTTGTTTGATTTACTACATAAAATCATCCTTCATAATGTAAAGAACATTCTGTGAAAATGTAACCATGATATCTTTAATATTGACTGAGTAAGGTCATGTCAATGATTGAAATGATAGTGAAATTAATGGTTGAAATCAAACTTTGATGCTTGTTATCTCATAATTAGATTTTGAGAGTTTAGCCTGGATTTCACTGATGACAGGGTCACATTTGATCTTTCAAGTAAATGTTTTCCCATTGCTATTAAATGTTTGTCAGGGAAAGACTCGAGTTCCTATCCCTCACGGAAACCTGTCAAAGAGTCTCTTAATTGGTTGTCAACATTTGTCATCACTTCCAAATCTTCAGTGAAAAACAGGTGAAAAAATAAAAATAAAAATCAGTGTACTGGAAAGGATGAGCAGCAAAAAAAAAACTTTATTACATTACATTAAAATATATTCTGACACAAGTGTTATGAACTTTAGAATTAAAACTTCATTAATGAAAATTTAAGACAGTTTTGGAAATAAAATTATAATAAAATATAATACACAATCCATTTTATATCAAATGATTGTCAAATCACCTTAAAATGAACCTTTTGCCAATGCATGCAATGATCTAATGGATCAGGAAACTTACAGTGTTTAGTGATAAACAAGTGTTTGGCAGTGTTTCTTTCTATCTGGTGTTAGGCAGTTTAGCCCAAGGGACATTTAGTTCTGTTGTACCCTATACCACATATTTGGCTTGGATTTGTTTCTTTTTTATTTTTTGGTTCAGCAAATTTTGATAATAAAGTTCAGCTGTTGAACTGCTCCTCTGCCCTCTCCAACTCATGTAACAGATTGCAATCCAAGAGAGATCAGCAAAGGGAAGTCCATTATCTATTCTCATGTTGCAGTTCTCAAGGCAAATGTACCATCACAGAAGAAAGGTGATGAAGTTTGATCATGTTTCCCAAAGCTGATATTATATTTAGTATTTCAGTATGTAGAGTATACGGACCCTCAGAGCTTTATTTTGCTTTACCTTTTTTATGATTTGTACTTTATTGATTTTCTTATTTAGAGACAAAAGTGATTTAAACAATCATGTACTTGACATATAAGCAACTCACAAAACATACACAAAACAAAACAGTTAGTCAATAAATGGTAACAATACAAATAAGTCAATAAGTAAATAAAATAGTATAAATAACAAGGGGAAAAAAACCCACCACTAAAAGTTTCCACTATAAGCTAAATCATATTCACCGTAACCATCGTTTGTCTCGTCACATGCTTGCTACTGCTGTGGATTATAGAAAAAAAAAAAATTCCCCCATTTATCAAAATAAAAATCAATCCTAAATGATAGATTTTGAGTTTTGAGGGCTGCCACTCACCCTAAATCCGAAAGCCACTCAAAAATCGGAGGCCTTAGAGAAGATTTTTTTTTAAGATCACACGTCTGCCCAGCGTGATGCAGCTCTGTATCCACTGTGATTTGTTTTGTTCTTGTAACATAACTTAAAGGTTGAGGGTCACCAAGTATGTACAAACTAGTAGATCATACTGGGTCTGCGATATCTTTAAAATATAATCATGTACCTCTCTCCAAAAATACCGGACTTCTGAGCATCGCCATAAGACATGAACTAGGTTTCCCTGGATAATCAGGATTATCCTTAAAACCCACTCTAAACAACCTTCTGTGTGTCCAGTAAAATCTGTGTAACATTTTAAATTGTATGAGACATGTCTAATATCTTCTAATATCATATTTTAAATTTCCAGTGATCTTCTCCCATTCTTCATCTTCAAATGTGCATCCCAAATATTTTCCCCAGATTATCTTAACCGCAGTACTAATATTTTGCCCCATCTGACTAATAAGTATTTAGATGCCTCATGGCCAGTGCCCATAATATTCCAGATCATCTTGAGAGTGTTTTTACCTCTGGGAGCATATGACGGGGAGGCAAAGATACTTGTGAGCATATGTCTCATCTGCAGATATCTCCAGAACTGATCATTAGTCAAGATGAATTTTTGCTTCAGTCTCTCGAAATATATTTAAGCATCATCTTCATAAAGATCCTCCATAATAGTTATATTTGTATCTATCCATTCCTTCCATAACACAGGTGTTCCACCAATTAACAGCTTTGGATTGGCCCATATAGCAGATGAAGGGCTTAGAAAAGGGTCAACCACTAGAATAAAAGAGGTCTTCTTCCAAACAGTCTGGAGATGGGAAATAATCAGATGATTATGCACTGGTAGTGGTTGTTTTGTTTTGTTATGTTATGTTATGAACAGTGTTGGGAAGGTTACTTTGGAAATGTAATAGGTTACAGATTACAAGTTACCCTATTTAAAATGTAATAGTAGTGTAACTTTTTCAATTACTTTATTAAAGTAATGTAACTGATTACTTTTGATTACTTTTTGATTACTTTTCTAAATTTCTAATGAATGTTTATTTGCAACCGTTAATCATTTTCCAACATTTACACCATGCAGGGTTAACCTTACAGTAGTGCTCAGACTTTCAAAATCCTTCCTCACTTGAATTAAGATGATCAAATTTGAACACATCCACCACAAAATCAGACTTTAGTACCGCCTTTTACTCTGAGATTGATCTGAAGTTCAATGCAGATTTAAAATCATAAGAAATAAAATGTGGCATATTCCGTCCGCGTTAGGCTACAGGAATTCCGTTTTTATGACTGGATTCTACGAACCAGTCTGTGCTTTCCGCATCGCGGAAATTATAGGGCCGTATGTCTCAGAGTAGTCAGTGCAATTTGGGAAAAAAATCAATTAAATCTGTATGTGGATGTGTGTAAACATTTAAATGTAATCCCCTTTGTAATCGTTAACATTTTCATAAGTAACTGTAATTTAATTACACATTTTTTCTTAGTAACTGTAACTGATTACAGTTACATTTATTTTGTAATTAAATTACGTAACGCCGTTACATGTAACTAGTTACTCCCCAACACTGGTTATGAACTCATATGGTATAAGCAGACGAGCAGATTTTTCCATGGCTAGCCATGGGGAGCTCGCTCTGGAGGTAATTTGAGGTTTCTTCCCATTCCACAAAAACTGTTTGCATATGTTATCAAATATACTGAAACATCCTGAATGGACAGGCAACGGACAGCATTGACTTTGTCCCAAAGGGAAAGAAAAAGGGGCACCCATCTTGCTGGGTCAGCTGATTTTTTTTTTCCAATAGGGGGCCAAGATTGACTTTAACAATATCCTTAAACCGCTGGGGAAATGTAATTCCTAAATATACAATGCCCTTGTCAGGCCATTTAAGTGCACAGGTCTGAAACAATGATTTTGGACAGTAAGCAGTCTGGTGTAGAGCCTTGGACCAATTGATTTTGTAACCAAAATTATTTATCATACTAAGTAATGCGGAAATTAATTAGTTGGATCTGTGGCAAAAAGCAAAATATAGTCTGCATAGAGCATCATTTTCTGAGTTGAGCCCCTAACAACTACCCCAGGGAAGCTGGTATTTCATCGTATTGCCACAGCTAAGGGTTCCAACACCAAAAAAAAAAAGTAAAGGGGAGAGTGGGCAACCCTGACCCTCGACCCAATCTGAAGTATGGAGAAATAACGTTAGTATTAGTATAAATTAGTTATTAGTATAAATAACGTTAGTATAAATGTTAGTTTGCACAGCAACCTCTGGATGTTTATATAACAACTTCACCCACTTTATAAAAATTGAGCCAAATTCCAAAAGTTTCTAATGCTGTGAACAAGTAAGGCCACTCAACACAATCAAATGCCTTCTCGGCATCAAGTGACACTGCAGCAATAGGCGAGTTATCATTCCTGTCTGCCCACATAACATTTATGAAACGTCTAATATTATCAGAATAATACCTATTTTGAATAAAGCCAACCAGATCAGGGTGTATTGGAGCCTTTTTGTAAATGATTGGCAATAATTTTAGAGAGTATTTTGATGTCTAGAGGAATCAATTATATTGGTCGGTAGCTAGAACAATCAGCTGGGTTCTTCCCCTTCTTTAAAATTACTGAGATCAAAGCTTGGTACAATGTTGAGGGTAGCACTTGCCTGTCAAAAGCCTCCTCATACCTTTCAATAGGAGTGTTAATTCTGAGGAGTAACATTTAAAAAACTCAGCTGTGAACCCGTCTGGTCCTGGAGCCTTTCCTGTTGTCAAAATCTTAATCACTTCTGAAATTTCATCCTCTGTTATAGGAGAATCCAAGAGCTCCCGCTGATTCTCACTAAGAGATGGAATATTAAGTCCACCGAGGAAGTTTTTAATTTCTTCCTTAGAGGAGCTACTGCAAGATGTGTACAAATGTAGATAGAAATCCCCAAATGCAGCATTAATATCCTTGACCTTGTTTACAAGGCCTCTCCCAGGGGTTTGGATAGCACATATTGAGGCAGAGGATTCCCCTTTGTTTAATGTATCTAGCCAACATTTCCCCTGCTTTATCTCCAGATTTATGTCTAAATCTGGACAGGTCAAATTCTACTTTCTGAGGAAGGATATTATTATATTAATACTTTAGCTTTACTAAGAGTGTAAGTTCACTTTGATTCATTCTCTGTTAAAAATTATTTTCTGCTTCTTTGAGCTGCCCTTCTAGTACAGACAACTTATTACGCTCTAACTTTTTCTTAGATGAGGCGTACTGTATAATGACCGCTCTAACATATACTTTTAGCGCCTCCCATGCCACCCCTACTGATGGAGCAGAATTTAAATTTGTAGATAAATGCATTGAGTTAAATTGAGTTAATCTTGTAACAAAGATGTGACAAAGTGGAATTGAACCTCGATCTATATGACCTTTTAATAGTGTCCAGTGCTATAAGATCCAGAAATATGGGTGCATGGTCTGAAATCAGTATATTGCCAATTGTACAGTTTAGCATAGAGTAAACAGTGTTTAAAAAAATTAAATAAATAAATGCATGAATATATTCTGTGTGGAAATGAAAACAAAAAGAGTATAATCTCAGGCCAGATGGGTTAAGCAACCTCCAAGCATCAAGGCCCAGAGACACTTGCACACTTGCTTTAACATAACCCTGTTGAAAAAAAAAAACAGCATATGCTGGTTAGGTATGTTTTGAAGCATGGCTGCTGGTTTGAGATGGTTTAAGCTGGTCCTTAGCTGGTTTAATCTGGTTATGTGCTGGTCCTAAACTGGTCCTGAGCAGGAGCTAGTTGCTTAGAACCAGCTTAAGACCAGCACATGACCAGATTAAACCATCTCATGACCAGCTAAGGACCAGAATGAACCAGCTCAAACCAGCAGCCATGCTTCAAAACATACCTAACCAGCATATGCTGGTTTTCTCAACAGGGAAAGGCTGATCGAGGGGTCCTTGTGGCTGCGGTCTAAAATAGCATCTACTACCACATTCATATCTCCCGCCCATATGACCAGATAATCACCTAAATCACACAGAATGCCTTCTAAAGTGGCAAAAAAATTAAATAAAATTCAAAAATTTGGGACTATTTGGAGCACATGTATTGACCAAAATGTGTGGTCTCCCCTGTAACTCTGCCAGTATAACTATGATCCTACCCTCCTTGTCATGCTTCTCCATTATAGATTTAAATTCCAGGTTTTTATGCACCAGAGTGATTACTACTCTGACTCGAGCCAGTGCTGTAAAAAAACATGACCAACCCAGTCTTTTTCTGTGATTCTTGTTCAGGTAGGTGGGTTTCTTGTGGAAACACAATATCACATTTTCTACTCTTGAGACTGATAAGAACCTTTTTCCTTTTAATAGGATTCCCCAAACCTTTAACATTGCATGCGGCGAGAGATAAATTACAACTGTTTTGGACTGACAATAAATTGTGTTAGTAGTTATCTTAGGAAACCCAACATGAAGGTGCAAACAGAACACAATCAACGCCCAAACAAAAACCATTAAGAACACACAAAAAAAAAAAAAAACTGCAAACCAGCGCATTTGTCCATGACTGCTCGTTGAATATGGTACATAGCTGTCACTGTTTGCAGCACTGGATTGCTACAGATAACTGACAACTTAAATCTAAATGCAGAAATTACAAATTATTATTTAGAGAAGTCATGTAGAAGATTGTACATCACTAATTCTTTCTTTTAGCGCTGACACTGACAGTTTCCCTTCCATAGACGTGGTAGCCTTGTGAATCTCTTTCAAACTTTTAATTTCCTCTGACATTTATTTTAAAATGTTAAAGATGCTCACAATGTCCTCAGCTACATTCCCCTTGTTCGCGGGGGGTTTGTCAGTGTCAATTGGAGAAACTGCTGCACTGTCATCTCCAGTGGCATTTGATGTTACATCGCCGCTTCTCAGGGTCTTTATTTATGCTCGATTGCACTATTTTCTGCTTGCAAGCCATATTTCTGTAGCTTGAGACTCTTCTCTACTTCTTAGAAAAGAAAAGTTGTCAAGGTAGCCATTTAAGATTATAAGTAAGGATAAATAAACTGTGCCACTACAAGCGGTGCTAAACTATGCTGCCATCCACCTCGACCGCATCACGTGACTCCTTTTGCTTTATCTTAACCAGAAAGCTATTGCTTGTGCCTTCTGGTGAACCTGGTAAGACACGAAATTCCCATTGACTCTCTGGGGGATAGACTGATGACTTAGACATAAACACTGCAGTCGAAGTTGGAAGGTTTTTTTCCAACACAAGTAAAAATTAAAATCTACACAATATTTTAATGTACTTATGATAATGTACTATGGTATGGGTGGGCGATAAGAGCAAAATCAAGATAATATCACAAAAAAAAAATAAAAATTATATATATATATATATATATATATATATTTAATATATAAACATAACATATTTTTCTGAAATATATATATTTATGTGTGTGTATTTATATATACATAAAAAATATACACAAAACACACAGACATATTATGCAAACAAAAACTTATTTTGTATGCAATTTATCACGATTGTTTGACAGCACTCTCTCTCTCTCTCTCTCTCTCTCTCTGTCTCTATATATATATATATATATAAAAACTATGAATTAAATGTGAATTAATTAACATATTGCATTATAAACAATAGCAAAATCTCTATTGAACTTTTATGTAAAGGCTGTATATTTATGCAACTATACATTGTGCTATGAATTTATATACAGAACATGGATGAGTTGGAACAGATAGTAGATGAAATGGATAACAATAGGTTTAATCCAAACATCCAAGGGTATACACGGGGCAGACAGGAGCATAGGAAACACATGGGTAGACGTTTAATCTCGGACAAGGACAGACAGCACAAACTCGAACTTAAATGCAAGGGATAATTAACAAATATACAGGTGTACTGAATGACTAATTAACTGGGAAGCTGAACACATGGGGAAGAAACTGGGTCACAGAGCACAACAAACAGTCCAGGGGCGTGACAGCATACATGTGAATTCCTTCAATACTGTTAAAAAGCATCCCAAAATGCACCTCATAAAGTTGATTAAGTGAATGTCTAGAGGGAGCAGAGCTAGAATCTATACCATGAATAAGCTCAAATATAATAGTATTAATAATAATGAATTCGTACAGTGACTGTCCAAATATTTGATCCTGAAGTATCATGTAAATACCTTGATACGTGAATTGAGGACCTGTATATCAAGTACTCAGCTATTATCATCTGATACCATCACTGTACCATGGTACCACCAAAGAAATTGATTGTGTGACAGAAAGATCATGTCATCAGATCAGGAAAGTTGTAGAGAATAGTATAGTAGTTACTGTAGTAGTTCATGCCTAAGCAAAGTTATCAAAACACCAAAGCACAATACTTTGCATGCCAGACAAAACAGCACCACAATGAAAGTATGTATCAAGCAATTACAAATGCTTGATCTTAAATAATTATTTTGATATTTAAATTAAAAAAAGGGTTGTATACTGAGCATGAACCGAATGCAAGAGTGTCTTCATACTGTAATTCTGATGACGAGAATGTCCTTACGAGACTCAACTTTAGTAATTGCATGTGAGACCCAGGAGCAAATAAAGTGCTTGAGGGGGATGGAGAGAAGCTCTCACTGTGGTTAGCATGAGGTAGATGATTACTCTGTAGGCCCAGTGCAGTAAACTTACACAGAGAGTATTTTAGGATGGACGCATTATGGTCTTTACCGTGCTGTACTCATTCCTTAATTAAAACTTCTTGAGCAAGATGTAGTTTGGTGTGGAAAATGGAGAATACTGCCTTAAGCCAACTTTGTACAATATGCATTATACATAATAAACCAATTTTCTATTTTCTCTGCATGCTACATTGCATACACAATGGTTAAAAATACCCATAGTGTACTATAATTTAATTTCAATGCAGCTTCATTGAAATTTTCATATTTGGATTATACTTAATGGTAAAGTTTAAAAATCTCCCATTGCTTACTCTGCTTAATGGTTCGCATTCAAGATGCAACCTTCAGCTATGATGTAATCTTATATTTGCATACAGACTTCCGATTGGGATTCTTCCATGCATACTGAATAGTAATTTGTGTCATATTCAGTGTTGGGGGTAATATATTACAAGTAACGCAAGTTACGTAGTCAGATTACTTTTTTCAAGTAACTAGTAAAGTAACGCATTACTTTTTAATTTACAAGATATTGTAATGCATTACTTTTAAAAGTAACTTTCCCCAACACTGGTCATATTAATGTATGTTGTAGTAAACTGAAACTTGATTTATTGTTTTGTTGCATTGTACACACTATTATTTCTTTCTGGAAATGCAAATCTAGTTAAAGGCCTTAATTTGTTTTCTGTGTGTGTGTATGTGTATGTGTATGTGTATGTGTGTGTAGCCGAGTGCGGAGGACACATTAGCGGCGCCACATCTGGACAGATTCTGTCTCCTGGTTACCCGGCCCCCTATGACAACAACCTTCACTGCACCTGGTCCATTGAGGCGGACACAGGCAAAACCATCAGGTACGAAAACTAGTGCTTGAAACCATTTTATGTTTTTACCACCCCTCCTTTAATTTCCATATAATTCCCATACAACCATAAAGGAGCATGGTGATTGCATTTCCACTGCTGGCATCTGTTGTGGTAGGTGGTAGGTGATTGCCTACCACTGGCTGGCATCTGTTCCTACAAGTGCATTACCGTTGCACAGAGGGGGAGGGTTAGTGAAAGGGCAAAAAGAATAGAGACACAAAAAGCGATAAGCCAGTTAAGCCTTCAAAAATGGAGCAAAACTCAGGTAAGCTAATTCGGTTGATCCGTTTAAGGAGAAAATGGCTTATAAAGAGCAGATAAAAGGAGAAGTTGTAAGAGTGGGATGTAATCCATACCATCAGGCTTGAGTCATGGCATTTGCGTGCTACAGGTGTTTAAACTATTTCTATACATACAGGGTCCAGAATGAATGCTCGTCAAGTAAAAATTGCCAGTAAAAATTGACTTTGGCGAGCAGAGTATGTGAGGGAATGGAGCAACAGTAATTTCCCCTCCACACTCAAAGCGTCTGTTATCACTCTGCTACAACTCCACTCCATCTCTCGCTCCCAGCTCCCAGGTGAAAGAAACCGCTCTGTGACTTCACTCCATCGCATAAATTTGCACAGTAACGGCTCCACTGTAAAGTTCTCTCTGTATGTTTTTTTTTTTAACATCGTCTAGGCTCGAGATGTATTAGGTTAAAGCATGTTTGCGTAATTCTCTACAGTTGCGAGGGTGTTGCATTAGTATGATGACATGGTTGTTCGTAATTTTCAAAAGACTGCACTGAGAGCACAGAGAGTCTTACCCACCTTCAGATTTTATTTTCGTATGTTAAAGGAAAATGTCTTTTTTCCCCCGTCTTTTTATTTTTAATGGTAACATTTAACTTAAATTTGTGAAATAAATTTATATAAACAATATAAATATTTAAAACAATTTATTAATAAATAATGTGTAATTTAAAATTATTCATAATATTTTTATTTCATTTTTATGCAATGTTATTGCCATAACATTATATAGGTTCATAATACAATTCCACTGCTGGCAAAAAGGACCCTGCTGGTGAATGAAATGTCATTTATGAGCGTTGTGGAGTTGTTTGAATGAATAACACTGTGTTTGTGGAGAGCAGAACTCGTGGTTGTCCACCCACACATCCCACAGAGACGTCACTGTTGTGACTTAAGTTGATCAGTGCTGTGTTTACATGCAAGCTGCAGAGCTGTGCTCGACTCAAGGAGGTCAGACTACAGCCCTATTGAGTGCAAATAATAGAAATCCCAGTGGCGCAGTATAGGAAAAAATATATTCTGAAGGCCTTTTGTTTTGATCAGTTCAGTGCTGTGGAAAATATATTTTGAATGAATTAAGTGATTATTATATTATTCTCAAAGATAATCCAAACATATTAATAAAGTCATATTTTGAGGAATCAAATTGATCTTTTTTTATATATATAACATTGTATTTTGTAACATTCTGAACTCAAACCTGCTTCTTTTGTGAAACAAAGCCACTTTTTTAAAGATTATAATTTTTTTACTCTTTATCCAGAAACACTTTAATAAACCTATAATAAATTATATTTTAGAACTGGAATTCATTTCACTGGAAGTTGAGTGTTCCGTCATATCCGTACACAGGGAAATATAGCTCCAGCTGTGGGTAGCGTGAAGCTAAAAGTTTATTTGGCGTAACAAATGAGAAAAATTGATGATGATGATGATGATGATGATGATGATGATGATGATGATCATTCAAAATGGCAAACCTCCTGGGAATCACCAGTTGTAAAAACAACAATAAGAGCAGCAACAACAACAAACAGTTATTTAATTGTCCATCCACTCTAATAAGATATGCTGTATCTGTGCCTCAAACCACATTCGAGGAGCGTAACCGAAGCACAGAGAAAACAATATTCTTCTGCAAGATGTATGCAGTTCTTTTTTTAAAATGCCAAAGGGCCATAAGTTACAGAATTTACTTTAGCTTTAATTATGAATTATGAATACATTTTTAGAACATATCTTTGCAAAGTCTGGACTTCTGATTTTATTAACTAATTGAAATTAATTATATTTTAATTTGCAAGTGTTTTGAGCTTATTATTGTTATTGATGCTTATTATTATTATTATTAATGTTTTTGAATGTCTTTGAAAGAAAATAAAACTAAATGTAATATTCTCGCTATTTTTGACCTTCCCAGCCTTCACTTCATAGTCTTTGACACGGAAGTGGACCATGACATTCTGAAGGTCTGGGATGGACCAGCGGAGAGTGGCATTCTGCTGAAAGAGTGGAGTGGATCGCTTTTACCCGAGGACACTCACAGCACCTTCAACATCCTCACGCTTCAGTTTGACAGTGATTACTTCATTAGCAAGTCCGGTTTCTCCATCCAGTTCTCTAGTATGTATCAGCTTCTCCTTGACTGTGTTGAGAATAGCATATTCTAGCTTATATTAGCATATTGCTCTATCTTTACAGTATGCATACTTTACACTGTACACCAATATGTTAAGTCTGTCATATAATAAATGCAATAGCAGGCAGTATGTTCTATAGTATAGTGTATGCTGTGCAGTATGCAGTAAGTAGTGAGCTATTGTTCTAACAAAGCCTTTTTCTCTTGTTAATTTCCTTATTATACACTATTTATGTATTTTTAAGTGGTTATGGAGCATATGTTTGTTAAAGCAGAAACCATTGCATATTTCATTTGACTTTTTGACAGTGATATGATATGATTGATGAAGTAGAATTAAATGGAAATCTCCATAAACATGAGTTTAACACCATCACATATGTGAGCTGCTGTGCGTCTTGGCATATTTAGTCAAGAGCAGAGGTCCATTCTCTCATGAATAAGAGATTTTCCGCTCTCTCTAATGTCTCACTGATCCACAGCTGATTCAAAATTTATCTTTTTATTTCAGCTACAGTTGCCACGACCTGCAACGACCCAGGGACCCCTCAAAATGGGACACGCTACGGAGACAGCAGGGAGCCTGGCGACACCATTTCCTTTCAGTGTGACCCTGGGTACCAGATTCAAGGAGTGTCTGAAATCACTTGCGTTCAGCTCAACAGCCGATTTTTCTGGCAGCCGGACCCACCCACCTGCATTGGTGAGATCCGACTTGACTCTGTGCTTTTTAGTTTCCTTACTGGAAAGCTCCTTCTAGTAAAGAAAAACCGATATGCTGTTAAATGCATTCCTTTATTTTAAAAGTGAAGTATTAATATAAATTACAGCTGTCAAAGCAGTACATCAATTTAGAATGAATGCAGTATATTATTTACAGAAGCAAACAAACAAAAAACAGATTTGTAATAACTTTGCAAGTATTAAACAATAAAAACTCAAATAATGACTTTGCATAAGTATCCGTGATCTGAGGAACACTCCAGTTTCTCTGGGATGTTTCTGCAGTTTGATTGGAGTCCATCTACTGCAAATTCAGTTGACTGGACATGTTTTGGAAAGGCACACACCTGTCTATATAAGTTCTAAGATGTATTAAGGTATAACAGGTCTAATGCATATTCGATCAAAACTAAGCCATATAGGGCCATATTTTAATGATCTAAGCGCATGGTTTAAAGCGCACAGCGTGTCCGAATCCACTTTTGCTAGTTTAACGATGGGAAAAACGGTCGGCGCGCCAGTTGCCAGGCGCAAGGTCTAAAAGGGTTGTACCTATTCTCTTAATGAGTCATGGGTGTGTTTTGGCCGTAACGTGCAATAAGCCAATCAGAGTCTCATCTCCCATTCCCTTTAAAGGCCAGTTGCGCTCGCTCCATGGCGGATTCGCTATTTACATTGCGGAATTTGCAAAAGCAAAGACTGAACGCTTCTCCAGAGTGGAAAGGTTTAAACGCTTTAACCTCGCGCACGAGCAGAACATCTATGGGGCACAATAATAATCTTTTAGATTGTAATCCTTTCATTTTTAATATTTGGCATGTTTGTGCACTGCTGCACGTCCCTGTGTGTGTAATAAGCAGAGTGTACGCACGTTGTTCACCCGCCTATAGGCGCATATTACTAACGCGCTCTTTAATTAACAAAAAAAATATTGCGCCATTGACTTTAGACCAGGTTTCAGTTGGTCAAAGGCGCAGTCTATTTCAGTTGCCTCAAAATAGCAATGCACCAACAGTGCGCCTGGACACACCTAATTTTCAGACCAGCACGCCTATGGGCACACAAATGGCTGCAAATGCATTTGTATTTAAACAAAGTGGCACAGAACGTGAAAATGATAACTGTGTCGGGCTGAAACTAGCAAAAAACACTTGCATCACGCCTGGCGCCGCATTGCGCCGGGTGTATGGTAGGGCCCATAATGTCTAAGTGGCCTCTCTTTAGGACATGACACATGAAAACCTGCTTGAAATTTGCAAAAGCACCTAAAGGACTTTCAGTTATGAGAAAAATATTCTCTGGTCTGATGAACTTCAATTCCAAGTGACATGTCTGGAGAAAACCAGGCATTGCTAATCACCTGCACAAGTACCATCCCAATGGTGAAGCATGGTGGTGACTGCACTCCATCGTGCTGCAGAGGAGTTTTTCAGAAGCATTGGGAATGTCCGTGGTAAAAGGAAAGCTGAACACAGCAAAGTACAGAAATGTCCTTAATGAAAACCTGGTCCGGAACCCTCCGGACCTCAGACTGGAGGTTTAGCTTCCAATTGTACAATGACTCTAAGCACACAGCCAAGACAACACAAGGGTAGCTTAGGTACGACGCTTTGAATGTCCTTGAGAGGCTCAACCAGAGCCCGGACCCAATCAAACACCTCTTGAGAACCTTGAAAATGGCTGTCCAACAAACATGTCTCCATGAGAGAGCTGAATACTTTCGCAAAGGCAATGTATATTAACATCTAAAACCATCACTGTATCATTGTACCACCACAGTACTTTTTTGTAACTCTACTCAGTTGTCCACTACCGATCATAAAGTCATAGCATTACAAAACTCTTCTTAGCGTTCATGTCTGTATTGAGTGGTCTTCTAGAGATTTAAGAGAGATGCATATTAGCTCAGCGTTATGGGGAAAAGCAGAGCTGTCTCGCCCACTGCATTACAAAGTTGCTTTTATATTATTACCATGACCTTCTCTCAGACCTCCAGTATTTTCTGCTTATGTTCTCTCTTTTTTCCAGTCAGGCTATATGCTCTGCACCTTCTAAGGATGTTAAAGAATAGCTTTTTTCTCCAGTGTCCCTATTGACTTTTTTTGATGTCATGCTTTGCCAGTTGCCATGAAATTCTACAAGGTCCTCTCGGGTTCAGGAAGCAAAAATCCCATTCATCCTGTCCATAGAGAAATTGTAATGATAATATTGAAACCGTTCAAGGCAGACCTAGCATGAGCTCAAAAGTTGTTCAGGGATGATGTACTTTTGTACCTTCATTAAGCAAAAAAAAAAAAAAAAAAGTTGAATTGCTGAACATTACCCAGAATTCTGAAGATAAACCCACCAATCAGAAAACTGACTGTTTCCAAGGAGAAAGGAATCATGGCAATCTGACTCTGCCCACAACCTCTCTGTACTCTCACACAATTTTCATGTTTGTATATATTTTAATATTTTGTCATAAATATGTAATATGTCTAATTTTATACGTTGGGCAATAACTTGGTCAGTAGTTTTATAGTGTATTGAAATTATTTCAGTCTTTTGAAATGCTTCATGTGGTGTAGTTCATTCTGTCATCAAATGCATTAAGTACACAGTTTTTATAGCAGTATTTGCTCCGTACCAAATTTTTAATGTTGTGATCTCAGAGCTTGTTGATTTGGTTCATGGATTAGACTATTTTTTATTGAAAATTTGTTTTAGATAGAGAATTACTTCCAGAACCAAAGCCAGCAAAAATTGGCAGGTCCTATTATAACAGTGCTGCTCATCAATATTTTTTTTTCTTCAATCAATGTAGTCAGATCACATCTACAGTTCTCTTAGATGGTTGGGTAATAAAGTCCTGCCTGATCTCCTTCACAATTCATCTTAGTTTCATTTATTGATTATTATCATTTAATGTTAGTTGTCCTGCTATATTAAATGATAATGAGCTCAGAGGAATCATTCTGTAATCAGGCAGCTGTAACATTGTTTATTTTTGCTGTGTTGAAGGATCACATTAAATAATCTCTCGTCCTCACTCTCCTTGTTATGACAGCTACCTGCGGGGGCAATGTGACAGGGCCTGCTGGGGTAATTCTATCACCCAACTATCCCCAACCCTACCCACCAGGAAAAGAGTGTGACTGGCGGCTAAAAGTCAACCCTGACTTTGTCATCGCTTTAATCTTCAAAAGGTAACATGCTCATACAGCGCCGAGTGCCTCTGACTCTTATGCCATCCGGAGGGGTGTAACATCTTGTGAATTGAGAAATGAATGTTTCCCTTATCTTTTGACATATAATAATTCATTTTGCTACGAAAAAATATACTGTAAGATTCAGAACTCAAACCTTCCTCATTAGTCCAAAAATGGCTTTAATTGAAACCAAGCTGGCAAAACAACTTATTTTGTACTTCCTCCTTTTTATTACACAATAGAGATTAATACATCAGCACAAGACTCCCTGCACAGACACAGATCCACGCCAACTACTTCATTAATGCCTCTTTGGCCCATCCACAGATTTTGCAAATAGACTTTTTTTTCAGAAATGTATAGATCTGACAGTAATGCCACAACATATAGGTAACTGTTTTAATTCTAATGCCTAATCATACAGAAAATCATATTATTGAAAAATAATAATCTGGCCAGAGGAGAACCGGCCCCCGACTGAGCCTGGTTTCTCCAAAGGTTTTTTCTCCATTTCTGTCACCGATGGAGTTTGGTTCCTTGCCACTGTCGCCTTTGGCTTGCTTAGTTGGAGACGCTTGACTGATTGCACAGACACTATTGGAAGAGAGCTGAACTGGATGATGAAATCACTGAATCATCAATGATCTGACTTTAGCTGGAAAATGACTCTGTTATTGTCTTCTTGCATCATTGACAAACTATTTTCCTGCTTGACACTGTAAAGCTGCTTTGACACAACCAGTATTGTATAAAGCGCTATACAAATAAATGTGACTTGACTTGCATTATGACCGATATGTTGTAAAAAATAAATAAATACATTTTAAAAAATCATATTAATATTATACGTCCACCTCAGGAAACATTATAAAAAAATATAAGTAATAATAATACAAATTACAGATTACATTGACAATCAATGCCACCAGTCAGAGTTTGTTTTTAATTCACGAATGTTCCATATGTTTAATAAATAAACTTCCCTTTCATGGGAACTTCGAACTGCGTCCTCTAGGGGTCGCTATGGGGAATGCCTCGTCGTGACCCGTGCCTGAATCATACATTGAAAAAACACCAGCTCGTTGGCCGGCGACAGCCATGACGTCACTACCGGTGCGACTATAGTATAAATAGGCGCCGGGAGCACACATCATTCTCTTCAGGGAACCATGGTTACATAAGTAACCTGAGACGTTTTATTTTATAGATCATAGTGGGGCACTTCATTATCCCAGAATACTCTAATTTACCCTAAAATCTTCAAAATGGAGCCAGACTGCATGGAGCAGGTTTAAAAGATGAAAAGCTGAAACAGAATTTCTAAGAAGCTGATGATTGTTTTTGTTTTTTTTTAACTTAGAGGTGGAAATGCATCAGTGTCGAAACTCATTTCACAAATTCAAATCATTGCAATTTATTATGTCGTGTATCTGAGCCCTCACACACAAATCCACAATCACCTCACATACTTGAATCTTTAGAATGATTATGACTGATTGCTTACTGTATGTTTCACCCAGCCAAAGTGATCAGGCTTTCATGGACTTCCATTATAATTACAAAACAGACCATCTAGAAAGAAGGATTTACTTCTGGAAACTAGTGGGCTTTCTGATGAAGCAGGTTATGCGATGATGTATGGGTTGAACGCTTGTTGAACATCCTTGTTTATTAAAAGCATTTATCAATTAAAGAATAAAAACGCACTCTTCAAGTTATTGTATGCTTATATCAATAATAAGATTAGAAAGCAATATTTATTTACATACATCCAAAACTTAACATATGCTTGTATCTGAAAGGGCATTGTCAAATTTATATAAAATGAATATAAAACTAGTGGCTTTAAATTTAGTACATTGGTGGGACCTTATGCATAATGCCTCACAACTGAAACAAAATATCTAGGAATCCTTAATTCTTTCTCCCATTTGTTGTGCAGTTTTAACATGGAGCCCAGCTATGACTTCCTCCATATCTATGACGGTGAGGACTCCAACGGACTCCTAATCATCAGTCTGCAGGGGAACCAGGTTCCTGAGCGCATCGAGAGCAGTGGAAACAGCCTTTTTCTGGCCTTCCGCAGTGATGCCTCCCTGGGGATGTCTGGTTTTGCCATCGAATATAAAGGCAAGTTTCACCTTGCAGATGTATGGTTTGTTCCCTTGAGGGGAGGGCTTGGGAAACAAGTGAAGCACATCCACTGGGTCAGTGTTCACTTTCAGATTGTCTTTAAGGGCGAGTGTCATGGAAACATGTCCAGGTCACATGCCAAATAAAACTTTTAGTGGTGCTGAGGACAGATTTTTTTTTGCGTTTTGTCATTCAAACACACACTATTCTTGGATTCTCCATGTCATTGAATGCTTATTTGTTTTTCATCATTATTCATCTTTTTATAATTTTTTTTAAATATTATTATTTACACGTTATATTAATACATATGAGATGTGATAATCAAAATGATATAATAGGGAGGAAATGTACTTAATTGCCATGAAAGTGCAAAAAATCTTAACAATCCTGAAAACAGGCTACTTATAATTTCTTGTTTCTTTCTTTTATATTTGGAGAGAAATATGACCTAGAGATGTTCTTGATGGGTGTTGCTCAAATGTAATTCTCTTGGCTATAAAAGCTTGTTCTTTTTAGGAACGTCAGATAGTTTTGACTGCTATGTCAGTTAAAGCTGATGGACCCTGCAGTAATTAAATTTACTTTCCTCTTAAATGAGTAACTATGGATTTTTGTGACTTTTACGTGGACTGTAAAGGCTGGTAAAACATCTGAATTATCTAAGAACTGTGTCTTGGATGGAATTAGGTTCAGCATGACAATGGCTAATGCTGAGCAGCCCTTTTGTAACTTACAAATTAAAATAAGAATTAATCAATACTGTAACACCACTGCGACCCTGATGACCAGATAAGCACTCTAGAGTTCTGCAACTATTTTCTGCTCACCCTAAGAAGATGAGGCTGAGGGAGCTCTGACACCTTAAAATCACCCACTGGATTTTTTTTATATATTTGAGATGCTGATATTTTAAGACCCCACTGAATTCCATTTGGAGCGCTTTGTGGCTTTTAGCCCCATGTCTATTAGGTTAGATCAGTATGCTGGCGTTTTTCCTAAATTTGACTTCTAAATAATTCTTTCTGTTCCAGGAAAGTGAACAAAAAGGATTGATGACTTGTCTTGCACTCAGGGGCTCATCCAACATTTGGTCCAGTAAAATGGTCTCTATGAGAATGCCCCCTGAGTAGCAATAACAAGTAGTGAATATTTAATCACAGATAGAAAGTAAATTTTAAGGTAAAAGCAAATATTTTGTGTATATATATACAGTGGTTACGGAAAGTATTCAGACCCTCTTAAATTTTTCACTCTTTGTTATATTGCAGCCATTTGCTAAAATCATTTACAACAACGCCCTAACAACGCCCCTTAGCTGTTATAAATTCACTGTAAACCACAGCTTCACGGGACTTATTGCTTTTATAAAACGGTTACTTCCAGAACCATAAAACGGTTATTCCATATACGTAGTAAGGTTTCACAAAATAAAACAGAGCAAATAAAGTGTAATGATATTAATAAAAACATTATTCTTCCGATAAACAATGTAGTTCCTCAGAAACGGTTGTGGTTCCAACAAAGTGGCTGCCGAGCAACACACACATGTAAACAAAGGTGTATGTTTGTAGAGTAATTTACAACAGCTTTGAACTTGGCTCAACCAATCAGAATCAAGGACCAGAACTATCCATTTTATACAAATAAATAAATAACAGTTATTTGTTTGGCACATTTCAGCACTGATTGTGAATACTCATTATGTAATATAACTAAGTGCAATATAACTAAATATACACTATGGATAAAAATGATCAGTTTAATTTTTTTTACGGGTGGGAGAGGATCGAGGATGGTCATGAAAAGCGAAATAATGACAATTTTAGGTGCAAAATAGCCTCGACTAACAATATAAGTGGACCTTTGATGTTTGATATGACGTTAATATTAGAACTGCACATGTTCGGTGTAGGAGCCATCAAAGCAATGCTACTTTCTTGATGAATCATTGGTGTTGTCTATTTAACTGTTCCCAAGCTCATATCTGAAAGTGATTATATCATTGTTTGCTATTTGTTCTTGGCTTTGCATTGCAACAACAGCACTCTATTCTAAGGCCTGAATAAGTGTCTCACTCTCTCCATCGACGCCTTAATTAGAACGCGTCATGTATGACAATGACATGATGAAGTCTTTTTCTCTTTGTTCTTGTGTTTTCTTTTAATTAATTCGATGTCCTCATTTGCTCACTGTTTCTCTTTATATAAAGCCAATCTTTTATCTACTATTGTATATCACACACCAGTAAACGCAATTATTAATGCCTTTACTAGGGAAAATAAATGAATATGAGAATATTACAGTCCAAAATCTCTCATACCTTGAGGAAAAACAGAACAGATTGATAAACAGAGAAATATAAATATAGTGGCCCTTAATATAAAATATACATTTTAGTGACCCTTAAAAACATGTACAGAGGTATGAATGCCGTTGTATTAGTTTCATTTATGATTCATTTCTAATTTATGGACCCACAATCTTCCTAACCAAACTCCTTTTTTTTTTTTAATGAATAAATGTTATAACGAATGATAAAAATGTGGTCAGTTTTGGGTGAACTGTACCCTTTAAAATGTGGCTGGTAATCTTGACACATTTAATTTTTTTATCACATTTCATTTCATTTTGCAGAATTCAATTCAGAAAAAAAAAGAATGTCCACACATCTCATTTGGGCCTGGTAATGAGTTAATAAATCTGATATATATTGTGGTGGCAGTGAAAGTGAACAATCTCATGACAGATATGCATGTCAGGGTGAGCATGTGTGCTACAAATGATGACAGAATATTCATTTTTGGGCCTGTTCCTTTTAGTCTGTGTGGTGCACTCCAGGTGCACTCACTGTTCCTCTGTTGTTGTAGAAACGAGGACGATTGTGTTGCACACTTGCAATTTTGCAGATAGAATCTTCCCCTCCTCCTTCCCACTTTCTCAGGTCCCTAAGGCTCGGCAGATAGCTGTTTAACTGTCAAGATGTTTGGCAGCCTCTCCAAGCACCACCTCCGGAGCTTTCTCCAACTGTCCTTCTCCCTGTGTCGGGTGCCAGAAGGACAGAGACCATCTTCTGCTGCCCCAGCACATTCACCTGCCTTTCCCCTGGTGTTAGTTCGCTTTAATGCCCGATGCCCTCAAGCAACTGTCTGCTCCCTCTTCACACTCACTGTCGATCTCGCTTTTTCCTTCTGTCTGTTACCTGTCTCAGCTCTTGAAATGGCCAGCATGGAACACAAATGCGGGATATGATTGTGCATCTGATTAATTTTGTTCAGGGTCAGTTGAATTACATGCACAAGGGCTGTCAATCAATTAAAAATCATGTGATCAAATTACTGACATCAGCATTTATGGACAGGCGTGTTTAGAGAACTTTGGGGATGCTGGAAGGTGGCAGTTGTTAAAGATTCACGGTGAGACAAGCTGAAACCTATAACTGCAGTCTGCAACATTCTAACACTTCCCCGGAGACATCCGTGGACAAAGCAAACATTCAAAATCCATTTGTCTTATTGTCAGAAATTACATGTGGACTATGTCAGAGAGAGAACGGGGCATCCATTAATTGAAATAAATTGTATGTGCTTCATACATCATTTGTGCAATTTTAAAACTTTATTATTATTATTATTATTTTACAGAAAAGCCACGAGAAGCATGCTTCGACCCAGGGAACATAATGAACGGAACTCGACTGGGAATGGACTACAAGCTGGGATCAACTGTGACATACCAGTGTGATTCTGGTTACACCATTGCGGGACCACCTACTCTCACCTGCATCATGGGGGCTGATGGGAAACCTGTATGGGACAAAGCTCTGCCTACGTGTAAAGGTAGGACCTGAAAAATGCAGCTTCCGTACAGAGGCATTAAGTGTTAAATGGAAGTTTAAACGTTTTTTTGAGCAATGAGGCAACTCATTAAAGGAATAGTTCACCCAAAAATCAACATTTGGTCATCATTTACTCACCCTCATGTCGTTCCAAAACTGTGTCTTTTTTTTTTTTCTTATGATGAACACAAAAGAAGATATTTTGGAAAACCAAACAGTTATTGGTCCCCATTTACTTCCATACTAGGGAAAGAAATACTATGGAAGTCAATGGGGAACATCAACTGTCTGGTTAACAGCATTCTTCAAAATATCTTCTTTTTTGTTCAACATAAAAAAGAAACTCATACTGGTTTGGAACGACATAAGGGTGAGTAAAAGTTGACAAAATTGTCATTTTTGGGTGAGCTATACCTTTAATATACATTTCAACTGACACAACTGACATGTGTTCCTTTTGTTTGTCGAGTATTTAATTCACTGGATTATTTAAAAAATAGACATTATGAATATTTAATACATAAACATTTTTCCTGTTCCATTACCATGATTCATTATTCATACCATGGCATACTTTTTTCCCATTTTAATAATGCCCACCAAATCTGGAAAGTTGTAATTATTGCTTTATTACTATTATTATTATTATTAGTAGTAGTAGTAGTAGTAGTATGGTAACACTTTAGAATAGGGAACACTTATTCACTAAGTTCACTAAGACTTTTCCCTCAATAAATTCCTAATTTGCTGCTTATTAATAGTTGGTAGTTGTTAAGTTTAGGTATTGGGTAGGATTAGGGATATAGAATAAGGTCATGTAGAATATGGCATTAAAATGTGCTTAATTAGTACTAATAAAAGACTAATATTCTAGTAATATGCATGCTAATAATTAACTAGGTAAGAGACCCTAAAATAAAGTGTTACCATTATTATTATTTTTTTTTTCTCCACAGATTGGTTGGTAGTTTATTGATTTTAGAACCTTGAATTAGGCTTTTTTCCTGCAGTTTTCAATTCAAAGTATTGACGCGTGTTAATTTGATTAAGCACTGCTTCGTCTAAAGAAATTAGCAGCAGCCTCCTTATCAGAGACAGTATTCCTTTTGTTTTTTGCGATCTCGAGAGTTAATTGATTAGACCTTTGTTACATGCATAGTTCTACTCTGTCACACTGCCAGTACCCAGCCAATATTCATTGGGTTTGGAGAAACCATCTGGTGCTCCCATTTGCTTACACAGAGAGAGACAGACGGGGACAGAGGCCTTCAAAAGAGCAGCGCCTAGGTCTTTGTTTCTCAGTGACAGATGAGAGAGCCTGAGTGCCACTCATTCCCACATTTCCTGTCAACCCGAGACCTTTCTCCTTTTTTCAACTTCCCCACTCTGTTTCTCTTTTTTTTTAAACCTGTGTTTTGGTCAAATAGTCAGGCAAAGCATGGACATATCAGGTAATGTTAATATATGATTTGTAGAGTTGGAAAAGTCATCAAAACAATGTTATACATATATATTATTATTTATTTATTTATTTTAATCAAATTAATGAAAAATCACTATATATGCTTCTATTTTCTGTTTCACCCACCAGGATAATCAAATGAATGAATGAATGAATGAATGAATCACACTTTAGTTTAGGGACCAATTCTCACTATTAACTAAATATTAACTATGACTTTTGCCTCAATAAACTCCTAATTTGCTGCTTACGAAGAGTTAGTTGTTAAATTTAGCTATGGGGTACACTGTAAAAAAAATCTGTGACATTTACGGTAAAATACCGGCAGCTATGGTTGCCAGAACTTCACCGTAAAAAATATGGTAGCAACATTTTAGGTTTTACAGACTTAACTTAAATTCACAATAAAATACCGTATTTCATTAACTGATGTTATGTTAATAAACCAACATAGTGAAGTGTTAATATCTGTTTTGAACCATTGTAATGCACTGATAACCACCAAAAACAGGTGGTGATGAGAAAGTCACATGATGAACTAACTATGACTTTTGCCTCAATAAACTCCTAATTTGCTGCTTACGAAGAGTTAGTTGTTAAATTTAGCTATGGGGTACACTGTAAAAAAAATCTGTGACATTTACGGTAAAATACCGGCAGCTATGGTTGCCAGAACTTCACCGTAAAAAATATGGTAGCAACATTTTAGGTTTTACAGACTTAACTTAAATTCACAATAAAATACCGTATTTCATTAACTGATGTTATGTTAATAAACCAACATAGTGAAGTGTTAATATCTGTTTTGAACCATTGTAATGCACTGATAACCACCAAAAACAGGTGGTGATGAGAAAGTCACATGATGAACTAAAGCTCATCACAAACAGCTTGTCTGCGAGCTGAGGAGGACAATACTTATATATAGAAGCACAGTCTCATTCACACAAACACTAAACCCCATCATGGTGACATACATTATACTGAAATAATGCAATAACATTAATTTAACAACATTAGATGTAAGATTAAACCCTAATGTACACAACTGATAAGAAAAAAACTAAGAAGAAACGTTATTTCAACAAAAAAAAACATCAAATATGAAGTGTCATGCAGGGAATTCTGGGAGTGTCAATTTGCGGTTTTTCACTGTAAATTATACAATGACTTTTTCTTTTTCACTTCCAAAAACCGTATTTTTAACAGTATTTTACTGTGAAATTACATTAAATGTAATTACATTTATTCACCGTATATAGTATGGAATACTACGTACTGTTAACCAGTTAACATGGTTTTACTGTAGCATTTTTACAGTCTTTTACTGTTAAAATCACAATAATTTTTTACAGTGTAGGGTTAAGGAATCTAAAGTAATATGCATGCTAATAAGCAACTAGTTAGTAGTGAGAATTGGTCCCTGAACTAAAGTGTTACCCAAATTTCATGTTGCACCTTAAAGATATTTCAACAATTTATCATATCCAGTGAAGTACAAATCGATGTGGTTCAATAATACCATCAACCACAATTGCACAAACACAAACACATTTCCAACGCCCATCCCCCAACCTGCCATAGTTGAGTCAGGGTTGTTATGTCCAGCCCAGTTGGTTCGCTCAAATAAACAGATTGTAATTCTCTTTTGTGCCGCTAGCAGCGCAGAATTCACACACTTCACTGTTATGTTATTCCCAGTGTTTTTATAGTAATTGCTCAAATCATGTCAGAAGAAGCATGTGCTCCCTCTGAACCCAGCGTGTTCAAATACAACACCAGGTTATAGATATGAACATGCAGTGAGCATCATTGACCCAAATCCAAAGGTCAAATAAGGGTTTTTGCACCTCAGTAGCATCCGCTGATTATTTAACCTCTTTTGATGGAGATGGAAAGCTGCTGATGCCCTTTGCAAGACAGCCTCATTTCCGCACTCCAGGAACATTTTGTTTGTCCTCACTGATGGAATTTCCAGCACGTTGCTTCGCCCATCTTTATGCATGAGCTGTAACTGTGGGGTAGAGACATATTCCTACACAGGTCATTGTTGAGCTAACATAATCATCTGATTGTGTCATGAGAGATGCTTTATTTGATCTTAATCATCCACACAGAGTGTACGCAAGCCAACATTCACACAATCCATTAGTTTTCTGCCTTCTAAGAATCCCCTCCGGCTCCTCTATTAGTTAAGTGAGTATGTCTACCAAAGACAACTGGATCATGGAGAGGTTAGACAGCCTGGCTCAGTCGATATCAGCCTCTTTAAATAATGGTACCAGGGTTTTATTTATTTATTTATTTTAATAATGCAGTGGTATGGTAGCAGGGATAACCTTTTTTTTTAATAATGGTGTGTTGGAGTCAATTGCAGTTCAACCGTGCAGTTTTTATGTTTTAGTTAGGCAGTCCTGTTGAAATCAGAAGCATGCTGATTTATTACATTTTTCTAGAAACAGGAAATACCCCAACAACTGTCTGGCAACTGCTCAGAACACCTTCACAACCACACGACAAGGCCTACGTCTCATCAAACATCTGATCCCTCTTCAAACTGACAAAGTATTCAAAGGCTCATTTGACATTTAGACTTCAGACTGTTTAAAACTTCTAGGCAAGGCTGCCAGTCCAACCTTCAAAGTTTGCCTTGAACTTTACTTTTGTAGTTGTGATTAGTGCTGGTTTGGTCCTTGTCTATAGCTGGTGGACCACATAGCAATCCTGTTGAACAGTGAAACATAACGAGTGGAACTAGTTGACCAGGATGGTCTTTCTGGTGTGGCTGGTTACCTAAAGAAGTCTTGGTGGATAGTCTAGTTAAGCAGCATAATAGGGTCACTGGCATTCTTTTCAGCTTATATAACCATTACCACCTTGAGTTTGTCCGCAGTTATTTTTCTAATAATTCAGCAGCCCGTTTTCAATTATTCCTAACATACTGGATAATTGTTAATGTTTATTGCACTTTTTTACATTTAGATTATATTTGCTGTCCATCAAATTTTTATTTAAAGTAAAAAAAAAAAAAAAAGAAGACAATTGTCATCATTTACTCACCCTCATATCATTCCAAACTCATAGGTTTAATTAAAAATATCTTAATTTGTGTATTGCATCAAATGGGTTTGTAATGACATTAGGTTGAGTAAATGACAGAATTTACATTTTTGTGTGAACTATCCCTTTAAATTATATGTGGAATCTCAGAGTCTCAAAGTCATCTCTGATTTTTGGACCCCATATTTATCAATATTCTTCTTGTTCATCAGTCAGAAGTCATGCACTAATCAGTGATATACAGAATATAGAGAGAATATAGAATATACTCTGGTCATGGTGCATTGATTCACACAAAGTAGTTTGTGGAGGTTAATCCTTTTATTTGTCCTCAGCCAGAGCTCTTTAATGCCGAGGTGTAAGGTTAGACGAACTACAGGTGAGCCAATTGTGATGCATTTATACACTGCCGCTGCAGCTTCCTTTTATCAATAGCCCATGCTTACAGCTAATGAGGTAAATGGCTTGCTGAGTACTTA